TTTTTTACGCAGATGATATGGAATTATATTACAGACTTGGCTTAGATGATTCTTTACATCTACATAATCACTTGAATACGCTATAAAAATGGTGCGACAAAAACAAAATACACTTGAATATATTGTTATGTTTTTGTTTTTGTTGTATGTTTGTGTGAATGCAAATGAATTATAATTTATGACTTTATTTATTTGGGCGCCATAAATTTTTAATATTTGTAATTATTTATTTTATATAGAGCTGACTCAACTACAGGGTGTGGTTTTCCTTTTAAAATACTGATTTTATGCATGTTCTAATCAGCATGATCTTTATATATTTCGATTCTATTAATTTTTCTGATCATTTTGATACCTTAGACCTCTCTATATGTTAACTTTTAAACTTTCAACAAAATTAACTTAATTTTGAGGATTTTGACTAAATTATGCTATACAGCTTGATTTTCTGTCTGCATATTTATTCATTTCCCTTCAAAGTTAACATTTTTTCGCTTTTTTAACAATCCTTTCCTGTTTATGTAGTTTATCGATTGAAATGTTTTTAGGTCTACCGATTCATAGAAAACTTTTAAAGTTTATACACAAATTTGAAGTTGAATTTGGATCTCAATACAGTTTATGATGTTTAGAAGGTCTTTTAAACATTGCACAAACAAGTTTGCAGTTCAGCAACACTTTCAAGTCTACAATCTTACAAATTTTTGACGATACCTACATGGATCTGTCATTATGAAAACGTTATATGAAACTTTTTACAATGGCTTTTGTTTAATTCCACTCATAAATTCTTATTGTAGGTATGCTATACTTTAATTTTATACATGATTTTCATTTATGGGTGAAATTCCTTCTCTATTCGTCGATCAACTTGTTAAAATTTTGGAATTTTTCAAATTTGCTTAAATCTGTACACTAGTAAGATATCTGACTTTAATAAATTATTCTTTACTATGATTTTCACCTTTTTTATATTACATGAATGCATTTTAATTATTTCACTTATAAATTAAATTTTTATCATAATTTTGACAGTTTGATACGTTTCATTGAACGATTTTATCTTATGTCGCTACAAAACTTATTTATTCTACGTTTAAATATATCCTTCATTTTACTCTTTTCTGTGTTCCACTACCCCTTTTTGTTAGTTTTCTCTATATTTTAAGTAAATATCTCTTAATTTATTTTAAAAATTTACATTTTGGTCTCTTTTTTGTATGGTTTATTTTATCATATGAGCAAATCATAACAATATGTACTTATATACCAAAAAAATAATGAAATTGAGTTCAATTACATTGGCGAACATGGTTTAATTCGCACAGATAAGTTTAAAAATTCAGATAGGTATCATTTTGTATCAGATTGAAGTATTTTAAACCTTGAGGAGCTTACTAAACGATATTTTAGAGATTTACCGAATTTTTCAGACGTATAGTAAGAATTTTGCGATATTCCTCATATTGTTTTTTGTGACAAATTCGAAGAAAATCATCTATTGAACCCATGTTCTTTTATTAGTCGATGCAAGTTATTTAAGCCGGAAAATCCATTTCTGTTCCACAAATTCTTTTCAGTGGAAAATAAAAAACAGGGCCAACAATATAAGAGACATTTTTTGTCCAATTAATGACCACCTCGAAGTCCATATTTGACCATTATGGATTTTTATTTGCGGCAAGCTTGAACTAAAAAAAAATTGAAGGAATACTATCGACTACTGTTTTATCAGGCTTTCTACATCGCTTTTAGATCAAATTGGATCGAAGTAATATTTTTTTACGAGTTAATTCTCTACAATGCTACCCCTTTCTCTCTCAAACTGCACGCCGCTGTTTGAAGTCCGGCTCGCTAAAGTCGGGTGGGCAAATGCAATTTCTTCAACTAATTGGAAAGTCAAAACTCTACTATTTTACACGTAATACTCGGGTAGACAGGAGAAACAGCTTCAGCTCACTGAGAGCGCATTAATTATAAATCACTACTTTGTGTTCCAATACTGTTGGACGGGCAACTTCTAGTTTCCCTTAAAACTCTTTGTTTGCTGTGCTACACGGACGGTATTCTGAAACCTATGAGTACGGTACTGCATTTTTAGCAGCACCTACTAAATTTCAATCGTTTGTCTCCTTGTTATTTTATCATCTGCATGTACGTGTTCAAACGTAAGCTTTTAATAATTGTCATCATATTTATGATCTTTAAATATCTTTCATTTTTGAACTAATATTCTAAACAAATCTTTATCTACAAGACCAATAAAAGCATAGTAAAATGCATAAAATGTTGCAGTAGTAAAATTTTTGAACGTATATGTTATAAGCGTTTACTTAGCGCGGTTAAATCGTCTATAATTATTGAGCAACATGGATTCTTTCCACGTAGATCTATTGAATCCAATTTAGTAATATACTCCCAATATATTACAAGTGCTATGGATAGCCAGACTCAGGTGGATGCCGTGTATACCGATTTTAGCAAAGCATTCGATAAAATTAATCATAATATACTTATATCTAAATTGTCTGAAATTGGTGTGCATGGTAACCTACTGAGATGGCTTACCTCTTATGTTTTCAACAGGTCGCAATTGGTAACTATTAGTGGTTACAAATCTCCCCCCTACGTTGCAAAGTCAGGTGTTCCTCAGGGATCACATTTGGGACCTTTACTATTTTTAATATATATCAACGATATCCGTCATTGTTTCAAATTTTGTAAATTTTTACTCTACGCAGACGATTTGAAAATTTACTCTCAAATAAATAATTCCGATAATTGTATTGCCTACCAGGAAGATTTAAACTCTTTCTTTGAATACTGTAAATCGAACAAGCTTCAATTAAATTTAAGTAAATGCTTCTATATTTGTTTTACCCGTAACCAAAATATATACTCTAATAATTATAACTTTAATAAGAATATTTTAAATCAAGTTGAAGAAATAAAAGATCTTGGGGTTGTATTTGACAGGAAATTGAGTTTTTCTTCACATATTGATTATATAACTTTAAAAAGCAACAAAATGCTTGGTTTCATCGTCAGAGTTTGCAAAAATTTTAGGTCGATTTTTGCTATTAAGTCTGTATATTTTGCATACGTTCACAGCATAATTAATTTTGCATCTATCGTGTGGAGTCCTCAATATACCATATATAAGTCTCGACTTGAGGCCATACAGAACAGATTTATGCGATATTTACACTACAAGGAGAGTGGTGTGTATTCTTTTCATTGTAGCACGATGTTACGAAATCATTATCATATTATTTCATTGGAGAATCGAAGAATTATTGCCGAAACAGTATTTTTGTATAAGCTTCTTAATGATTTTATCGATTCCCCAGATTTATTAGCCTTGATCAGTTTACATGTACCACAACATGATTTTAGAGTAAATGCACTGTTTCATGAGACTTTTTATCGAACTGATTCTGGTCAAAACTCTCCTATAAACAGAATATGCAGACATTTTAACTTGTACTGTAGTACTCTAGATATTTTTCATACTTCGCTCTTTAGTTTTAAAAGATTTTTAAAGGGAACTATTATTGTAAATTAACATTTTCTATTATAGTAATCTTTTCTGTAATTTTATATTCAATTAGCTTTAAGTAATTTGTGGACATTGTTTTGAGCTATAAAGCCTGTGTTTGTCCCTTGTCCTTAAATAAATAAATAAATAAAATAAATAGTAGTTGAATGGGGATCAGTAAGCACAACCACTGACTGGAAGCTGCAAACATTTGGGGTATAGTTCCTTCCTTTTATTTATGTAGTTCTTTAATAAATTAATATTTTAGTTGCTCTAAAATAACTAACTATTCTATTTGATATGGGATGAGGTTTGGGAGATGTGTATTTGACTGAGAAAATAAACCTTATAGATATCAGTTAATAATGTATCTCTGACATTCAAAGTACGAACATTCAAGTTTGTAACAACAATCAACTTATCAACCCATCATTTTAAAAAGTACAAAAGTAATTATAATATTAAAAATACAAACGAAGTACCTATATAAAAAATAAACTTTGTACTTAGCAATGTTAAAGTAAACAAAAATAGACTTTTCCATCTAAAGATCGAAATAAATAAATAAGCGGGAGAAGCCTATGAGTGGAGTCTAGTCGATTCGACACTCTCCCGCCATGCCGATCGCTCCCGAAGGCCCCATGAAAGCTCACGAACGTAGTTTCGGTTTTGGTCATAGTTTCTGCTGATTTTCTGCTGAAACCGAAACTGGATTTCGCTGGCAATAAATGGAAAATTGCTTCTTGAACTTCTTCAAAAACAGCCACAGGAACACAATTACTTTCTTGCATTTTTACCAAATTCGGATAGAACTGTTTATTAAATAATTGATAATAATAAACAAGGTACCACAGCAATTAAATTCCCAAATTCTGGCTCCACAAATATGATTGTAATGTGATTATGGATAAAACGTTGTATTGCATTCGTGTTTTAATCGCCTTTTATCCACTTGAGAATATTAAACGCTTGAAATACGTTCTCGCGTTTAAACATTCTTGCTTGGATAAAGCAATGCTACTTAAAACACTTATACAATAAATAACTATTACTTGCTTCTTTAATTTTGTCTATATCACAGAGTATGTTGTCACTTAAACATAGCTATTTATTTTATGCAAAGTCTAATAATATGTGAACGTTTAGAGAAAAAAACGCCTTTTGTTTTTGATTAAAAATAAATATTTGTGCAAACACTAAAATTATATAATTTTTACTATCTGGAGAATTCACCAAAAACATCGGACTTAATTTGAACATTGTTGTTTTTATGAAGAATATTGAAGTATCTTTCCGCAACCTAGTTAGTGTTAACTGCTAGCCAATAAGGCGTTTTCGTTCTCCACATCCCAATCTATGAGTTCGACTTATACTCTCACATAGTGCAATATATTGTCTTATACATTCCATACGTTTCCAGTTTGTCTGATAATTTGTAAAAAGGTATTAAAAAAATTGCACATTTGTTAATGCTTGTAATAATATATTTCTGCAATACACTAAAATTAGACGATAACTTCTAACATCTTTACAATTTTGGTAAACCGCCGTAAACTTCAAGCATCCGAACACGTTTGTCTTCACGACTAATCTTGAAGAATCCATTTTCGCCCCATTCATCGTTGAATGAGTTAACACCTAGCCAGTAGGGAGTACCGTTCTCCTCACCCCAGCCTATTATTTTGATGGCATGTCCTCCTGTAAAGAATCCATCTGTCGGCTGATACACACCTGAAATAAAAAGATAATTGCAATTATATCAGAAAATAGCATTAGAACCAGAACATGTCAATAAACTACTTACATTTGAATGATGAATATACTTTTTTAGAAGGTATAAATAAATTTTATAGTCTGTTTTAAAATGGCATCGAGTACTAAAAGCACCTTAGACAGGGTGTTCAGTTAGTAATCAGAAAATTTCGTTAAAATTTCTACAACCTTTAGAAGCAGATTTAACAATTTTATGCAAAAAATTTCTAATAAATAATTTAAAAAAAGCAAAAAAAATAGATTTTTTTAATATTTTACTTTTTTTATTCTATTTTTTTAAGTAGAAGTAGGCAAAGAAAATTGCTTTACAAAAAACTAGATGATGAGATTCCCTTCAAAATGATGAGTTATATCTGGTCAAACTTAAATATTTTTAGATTTTTGTCGTTTTTAACATAATAGTGATTATAATTTTTATTATTTTTACAACGAATTGGTTCTTTACTTAACAAAAAAAAGTTTTACTTGTTAATAATAAATATTTTCACAACTATACGAAACTATGGGAGATTTTTCAAATGAAATTACAGTTTATCATACTATATTTCTTTTTTACTATCTCAGATAAGGAGATTTATAATAATATATGCAAGTATATAAATAATTAAATTTAAAAGCTACTTATAAATTATACTCAAATATTGTTTAGAATTTAAAAACATTTAGATTTGTAAAATTATTTAATTTGAAATGTATTTCATTTCTGTTTCGTTACAAGTCTGCAAGGTCGACTTTTACCGTTACTTTTTTGTAAAAATAATAAGGATCATAATCATTATTATGTTATTAAAAACGACGAAAATCTAAAAAATATTTAAGTTTGACCGGTTATTATAACTCAGTCAATATTAGTCCAAAAACTTTTGAAAACGCATTATTTTTAAGGGAATCTCATCTAGTTCTTTTGTATAGCAATTTCCTTTGCCTACTTCTACTAAAAAAAAAAATAGGAGTCAAAAAAGTAAAAAAGAATTAAAAAATCTTATTTTTTGCTTTTTTAAAATTGTTTATTAACGATTTTTTACACAAAATTTTTCTGTTAAATTTTTTAAACGAGCCATTTCGATGGGAAACAATTCTCTACAAAATTTTTCCTATGAACTATAACGAAATTTTGCTTCGTTTTCGTGCTATATTTAAAAAAGTGCAAAAGGCATTTTCACCCCTATCTTCAATATCAACCCTCTAATTTAATAGCACCTCGCGGTTTTTTCATTTTTAATGACCCTTCGAACAAGTCATGTGATGAAAATCCTTAAACGTCTTATTCCCTTCCTTTTTTTTTGCAAAAATGAGAATTAAAACGTATAAGGGTAAGCGCGACGAAAATCGAAAAATTGGCTAAGTTTGAGGGGCCATATATCAGTCAATTTTCATCCAAAAATACTTGACAGCCTCTTATTTTGAAGGAAATTTTATCTACTTGTTTTTATGAAGCAATGACTAATACCTATCTTTACTAAAAAAAAAGCTAAAGGCAAAAAAGTAAAAAAAAATCAACATTTTTTGCTTTTTTTCAAATTGTTTATTAACGATTTTTTGCATAAAATTTTCCTTTCAAATTTTTTTAAATAATCCATTTTCGATGGGAAATTCAATTCTCTAAATAATTTTCCCTATGAACTATAGCGAAATTTTGCTTCGTTTTCGAGCTACAATTAAAAAACTGAAAGGGGTGCATTTTCACCCCTATCCCCAATTTTCACCCTCTATATATAATCAATAGCCTACATTTGCTGTAGAGATTAATAAGAATTAGTTAAAAAGTCTACAACTTGATTAAAAAAAATTGTTTACCAAAATAATGTTTCTGTACCTTTGTTTGGAGATTCTAGTTCGTTAATTTTTTTCGATTCCTAAAACTTTTACTTCTGAAACTGTTAAGGAAAAATAATGGAGCAGAACATCGAGTTAGTATACGTTACTGTTTCAGTACGGACAAATAAACAATATAGGCATCTGGTAATACTATTTTTCTGACAGATGTTTAGATTTAGAAAAAAATTATGCAGGTCTTCTCCAATAAATTACCGTCAGATTTCATATCCAATATAATGAATATCTGATATACCAACATATGATATCTTCGCTCTATCATTATAAATATAATTCTGAAAGCACAGTATAGGTACTCACCGCTCTTGTAGGTGTAAAAGTCAGAGTACATAAAGAATCCGGCTTCCACAGGACCATTTTTCATGATTTCCAGTTGGATTTGGGTCTCATCTGTAGAAATCGTGTAAACGACGTCTTCTCTACCGAAAGTAAGCTCGTTTTCGTAACTGAGTGAACTGGAGTCACACTGTTTGACACAAGCTGGTGTTGGGCCATATGTTTCACAGGTTGTTTGTTTGGAACCATTGATGTGGTGGTTACAAGGTTCCACAGAATAGGCTCTGCAACCCTGTAAACAAATGATGGACATTTACCTCGCCATTTGTTAGTATAAGTTGCTTTTACAGGGTGTTCCCTTTAAAACTCCCCCAGCTCGATATCTTGAATATCAACGGAATTATTAATATTAATAGTTATTATTATATACGCATTATAAATAAATGTATAAATTTTATGCAATACTTGCAAATGACGAATAATATTTCTTTTCAAAGCATTATAATTACGCGGCAATTCAAAAACTGTATTTACAATGTCTACACATGAAAATCAATTAAATCCCAAGTAACTTTTGTACCTATTATATGTAACTTTCGAAATATATTTCCGTGAGACTGCAACAGAAAAGTACTATTTTTAAAGAGCAAATGTTATTACAATTTTTTCAGAACTAATTTTGGGCCATGATCAATTATTTTACAATATATATTTAATACACAGTTCTGTAGTTTAGATTTGTGGAAAATAAAAAGGCTGGTGCCAGTCATTCCTTGGTATTCAAAGTGGATACACTTTATTTTTCTTGCTCTCCTAAGGCTTTGCCTTAGGAGCTGAGTGCACATCTAAATACCAGACGTGGCATATGGCGGAAAAGCCAACTTATAAGCTTCTATTCATTTTTGAAATATTCGTTTTTAATCAAAATGCCTTGCATACCGTCCGTTTGGAGACGTATTGCTTGAACTTACATCTGTTTCTCCATACAGTCCACCACTGACGATGCCGTTATCTATCCAGTATTTCCAAGCAACATCCATCCATCCTCCATCACAACCTTGTGAACCCGTACAGCAAGTTAGTAAGTCCTGTGCTGAGACTTTTACCTTCTTTTCGCCATTAGAATGGATACAGATTCTGTCAGCCATAGCTCCAACTGCAGCGACGGCCTACAAACATGTACAAGTAGTCTATTTACTGTTAATTCTAGATGATGAGGTATATTACAGAACCCATAGTACACTGATCGCTCAATATTTACCCAGCAAGATGCGCAAGAACCCTGATCCCAGATTTCTACAATAGAAGGACAGTCAGGCCATTCCTCACGAGCGTCGAAAAACTCTGGGATGGTGTCTTCTAGACTGACATCGTGAATTTTGGTAGGCAGCGTCTTCATTGACCTAAAACGAGTACCAGCTAATTTTCGTAATTGGTCCATGGTCGTGTCGACAGGAAAATTCCTGCCAGCGGTCCAAGTGGACTGCATGCTGTTGATCTTGTTGATGACCTCATCGGATACAGGGTAGACTTCTGCGCTGGGTAGAGCGTGAGACGCCACTACCAGAGCCAAGCAGATAATGATTTTCATGTTGACCTGGAAGAAGTTTTGATTTAATTATAGTCATCATGATCTGTGAACCAGTGAAACACGAGGAAGGAACAAATACAAAGTTGAACTACCTAGTTGTTTGAATGCAATGCAGCTACCAGAGCTAAGCAAAGAATAACATTCATGCTGACCTGAAAGGAATATTGATTTGGTTTTAATCATAATGATATGTAAGGTAAGGGAAATACAGTAACGACTCGTGACATTGTGAATAGGTGAGGTATGTGTTTTTTTTTACTAGGTGGGCAAGACAGAAAGAAAAAGCGCCGCAGGCAAAAATTTAAAATTTTCAAGGTCAAACGATTAAATGCATCTAGAAATGTTGCATTCACAATATTATAGAAAAACTGGTGTTCACGAGCAGGATTTTCCTTCAGATTTTATAAAAAGTAATACGCAACTATTTGGTTATTTTATTAATCCGCTCTCAAATAATAAGTAGGAATAAATTTCCATATAATTTTTTATTATGGAGATCTTCGCTAATGCCCCATTATAACCGTAAATGAAAAAATTGCATTATTATATTATTAATAATAATATCAGAACTTTAAAAATT